AATCTACGAGGCGTTCTTAATGATTTACGCTAAAGTAACGAGCTCATGTTATTACTATTTCAGGTAAGAAGGTATCCAAGACGAATGGACAGAAAATATTCAATCATAATTGTTGCTGAGAGTCGTGAGTAATCATATATATTTGTCCTCTTACAATTGAGCGATAATCGCTCAACAAAAAAAGAATGTTTGACTAATAGGAGATAAATCTCATTGTTCGATATATTTAATGCGTTAATTTCAAAAATACCATCTGTTTCATCAGCTTCAATTATCTAATATATGACATAATAGCTTTATATGAGATGTGGCAAAAAAATAAAGAAACTAGAAAATTGTTTATTGGTAACAATACTTTATTTCGTATACCGGAATAAAGATAATCTTTATAATCCAAATAATCAGTCAATGAACTGAAAACTTTTAAACTTTACTAGCTGTTAGTTTACAACAATTTGTATCAGTACATGTACTAGTGATATGTGAAATTTTATAGGAAACTTGAAAAATCCAGGTGTATGGAAAACATGCACTGTCAAAATCATAAGTATTCAAATTGTATAAGGCATTTTTGAAAGATCGAGAATCTGTGGAAGACAAACTATATTTCAAAAAAGCTTCAACATAAAAAATATAAGGAAATGTTCAATAAATTCGATTGATCTTTAATATTGAAAAAATCTGTACTATGGACAAGAGTTCATCGTTTCTGGCCAAACAATGAAAGTAGGTGAATACTTCATCATAATAATGCTCCCAGTCACTCTGCACGGTCATCAAATTTTTGCACGGTCATCAAAAACATTTCAATGCTTTCAGAGTCTCCTATTTACAAGATCTAAGTCCTGGAGATTTCTTTCTTTTCCCCAAACTGAAATTCAATCTGAAAGATCATCATTATGGCAATGTACACAACATCCAAAAAGTGGTGACAGATCAGTTGAACCCGCTAACACTAAACAAGTTCCTAAACGTTGCTACAAAGAGCAACGTTTTTGAAGTAAACTACTTTGAAATTAATAATAATGTGATTTTATAAATTTCTTTCAAATACAGAGTTTTCTAATAACAATTTCACTAGTTTTCTGCTACACCTCATATACAGCTTATGTCATAGTTTGAAAATTAGATTTGAGAGAGTAAAACCGATGGTAATTTTGCAATTAGTGCTCCAAATATACTCAATGATATATAGGTCTATTAACTTTTCATTACAGTGTGTGTTAGGCCGTGTAATCAGTACATATCTAAACATTATATACTTCGTGATGGTATCATCCAAATCATTCGTGATAGCTAATAGCAGTGGATTAATTTAGAAAATACATAAAATGGAAAAGTGCTTGTTGAAAGAGAAAATCTTAAGTTTTTGGTTAATGATCCCTTCCCTTCTTTTTTCTTTAGCTGGAGTGCACGACGGAACGCTTATCGATATTGATAATTTCGAAGACGAAAAAAAAAGCTTTTGGATAATAGGTAAAACGATCGACAGAAAATATTTAGCTTTGACATTGTCGTGTAGAGGTTATACGACGACGGAGAGTAGGGTCGACAGAATATTCGAAGTAACGGAGGGATAGCGAGGAGGTTAGAGGAGAGAAGAAGGAAGCAGTCGCTCGCTTTAATTACGCGGAGCCATTGTTGCGGCCGGTTGTTTATAATTAATCGTTGGAAACCCTGCTCCTGTCAGAGACAGATATGACGGCCAATAAAATACGTCGCCACCAACCGCACGCACACCAATGAAACCGGGAATTTTGCTATATGCCGAAATTTCAGTTTGACGCCCTAACGAACTGCCCAAATCGAAACGCGATTCTACCATAGCGGTCGATTGCTTTACTTCATGCTGATCTAAAGTCAAATAACATTTGCATCCTCGCTGATCGTCCAACTACAATAATAAGCGACGCAACATTAGGATGTTATAGGTAATTCATGCTTTGTTGTAAAATATTGTCAGGTGATCTGCTTGAAGTTTATTTATTTTAACCAATGAAAACTTAATTACAGACTATTGATATTATAAATTAGTTACTCTTGACAAGATTGAAAATCACTGAAAAATAAAAATCTTTTAGAAACGAAATTCGAATGAGGCAATGTTGAAAAAATTATTTTTTTTCGTTGCAAATAGATCTCTCTTTTCGAACACATACGTATAATATACGCGTTGTTATCGCCGCTTGAACTCGTCGGGATTCGTCGAAGTTACAGAAAAGTTACGATTTTCTTCGTGACAAACGCGATTTTCATCCCTCCTCGCGGAAAGTTCGCTTCTTTTATATGCCGCTCGCGAGGAAGGCAGTCGGTTCTGACAGTGCTAGGAATCGAGGATGAAATAATGTACGAACTCGAGGATAGCTCGAAAATGGGCTCGACCCCTTCTCTCGTCGGCTGGAACTTTCGCAAGAGTCATTCGATAAGGTGATTAACTTTCGTCGAAATGGGAAGAAAAGCGTAGAAAAGTAGAGATAGTAAAGATGGAGAGAATCGAGATGGTCATAAAGCTCTGATCTGATAAAAGAACTTAAAAATATATATTCTAAGCACGATTATTCGCGCTTATAACGTGAAGTGCTGACGTCATGTCACTTCTTTTTTTTTTTGTAGATGCTACTGGCAACTATCCAGTTCTACATTTAATAAAGTATAACGACGTTGTAGATTCACCAATCTTCCTATCTGTCTTCGTTAAGTGACGTAATTAGTATCACACCATAAAAAAAAACATCGTTTACTCTAGCTTTTTTTCACTAAATATTAATTCATGTATATGTGTGTAAGCGGGAATGTTTGTTTTAATGTGGACTCGTGCTTCTGGGCGTTCGAAAAAAATGTTATATCAGAGAACGGAGGTTAAGAAGATTATTTTCGCTAACGGATTTGCAATTACGAAGTAGGAACATAGACGAATTGAAACGAAAGTAGAACTCTAATAAAATCAAAGAATATAAAAAATTTAGAAAATAAAGAGGATTCATATAGTAATAAAATGTAAGTTTGTTTCAGAATATATAGTACATGTGTGGTGGTTTTTAACATCGTTCGGAATTTCACTTTCCATCGGCCAATGTATATTGGAATGGAAATGGAATGTATGACGGAATTTAAACGTTACACTTACATATAGATATAGGATGTACAAAATTGATACATAACTAGTTTACCAAATGATTTATTTGACTTTATTTTTTGAAATCAAAATGAATTCCATAAGATCATTTTGGATGATTTTTGACTAAACTGTAGAATGATAAAATCAATTCATAAAACAGTGGCATATAATTTTGATATGTTCTACATAGATTATAAGAGAATAGGAAATAAATAGTTTGCGTTTTTTCATTTTTCCTATAAACTTGATAAAGTTAGATAACAGAAAGAAAAACTATATGTAATAAGACGCTTAGACAACTCGATTCTCATGCACAAACATGTATATATGTCGATTCTCTCTCACGCGAGCATAGCAACCTTCTGGCCAAGGTTGCGCAATGAGAACGACACAACGATAAACCTAACGACGCACATGTAGTACCGGTGCGTAGCGTCTATGACGCTGACAATGAGAGAGAACCACCACACACTTAAAGGTCGTATTGCACATGGCTAGCACACGCGTTCATGTATATAGCACGAGCGCACATGTATGTATTATGTATAGTTACGCATACACCGATAAATGCACGCTGCAGCGTAACTAGGCGTGCTCGGTCCCGCCAATTGACTCAAATGCACATTTAGCCTACATCCACGATAATTATATAATCGTGCTTGGCGATGCGAGTACGACGTCCAGGATTGATTTTTTTTTTTTAATTAATTTTCGACCTTTCGATCTCCTTTTATTCTTTATCGTCTTAGTCAAACATTATCACGATTCTAGAAAATTTTACATGTCAACCGCTGAAATGAAATTTTTGTTAGATTTTGAAACGTTAATTAATATTTTTCGTTATTTAACGAATCGAAACGAGTATATAGTTGGGTTAAACGAAACGATTCGATCAGGGGACGAACGTACCTGACATATAGGTGAGGAGGAAATCGCAAAAATATCGGAGGAAGTCCATCGACTGTTACTCAATGAGACGCTTTCAATCAACGATAAGCAAGCTCTTTATACGGGACGCGCCCATGCATATCGCTGCAATGATAGAGCAAGAGAAAAAGAGCACCCGGGAGAGAGAAAGAGAGAAAGAGAGAAAGAGAAAGAGAGAAAGAGAGAGAGAGAAAGAGAGAGAGAGAGAGAGAGAGAGAGAGAGAGAGAAAGAGAGAAAGAGTAGAGACGGTGCAATGCATCAGCAGCCAGCACACGATTCTTCTATTCATAGACATAGCCTATTGGTCTGGAACACCCACTGACCCGGTGTACCGTTGAAATGCTCCGTGCAAACCTGGCGCGCGTTTTCAAATACGAGGACCTATGCCTTTTCAATAGATATCACAAGAGCTAAACGAATCTCCGGACGGAAACGCCAACGTAAATCGATGATGTAATCGAATTAACTGAGTCATTCAGTTTCGCTTAAATGCGGAACTCCTTAACGAACTCGGATCTCTTTAACTTTTCAAGTAAAAAATCGTTCGATCTTTTACGATGGAGAAAAAAACATTAAAGAAAAAAAACAAAAAAAAATAAATGAAAAAGTAGAAAATTGACTTCTACCGTCTGCCAATGCAATATAAAAAAAAAGGAAAATTTTTTTTTCATGCGTACACGTTTGATCCGACGGAATTAAAAGCTCAGCTGATCCGAATCGAGGTATGACAAGAGTGACTAACTCAACGTGTGGCCAATTTAGAGCTTCGATTAGCCGAGAAACCTTTTATCAAATTTGGTTACGTGCAGCGCCGTTAAGACTCGAGAATTCAGAAGCTCGCTATCAAATATCGGAAGTCGCACGGATTCAAACACGAGTTCCGCAATTCCTCACACCAATTACTTCCCGTTTCTCTTTATATCTCCCCCCCTCTCTCTCTCTCTCTTTTTCTCTTATCTCAATAGATATTTTTATTTTAAAAGCGAGTTAAGTGTATATATATGTATGCACGCATACAACCGAGTTCAAAGAGTTTAGCGATTCCAGATAATGCAGTAAATTTAATTGTCCAATGAATACGTTTCAAATGAACGTCAAAAAACTCTAAATTACTCTCGTAATCGCTCATATAAAGCAGAAAAGTGTGCGATAATAGAAGTAAAAATGAACAACCAAATAAAAACGCGTCGCGTTAATCTTTCTCTTTTGAAAATATGCATCAATCTCGCGAGCCAGTCCATGTCAGCCTTGGTTATTCACGGAAGCTTGCGATCTGTATTTCTGTCACTCGATCATTCCCTTTCGTCTTATTCTCAATTTATCTCAAAAGTGTTTAACGGAGCGACATCCTGTGTGTGGCATTGCAAACTGTTACTGCAGTGCGGGAGACAGCTCGAGCGTTACAAAAAAGAAATGCTTGCCTAAAAAAGTGCCTGAAAAGATCGCGTCCGCGATCTTTGTAAATTTCTGAAAAAATTGAATAAACCCACTTTCTCTTTTTTTTCGTTATCGAGTAGGTAGATAGTATATTCTTGATAATTATTTATAACACATCGCTGAAACTGTACAAGTTTGTACACATTCGCTTCCGTCATATGAATTCCATTATAAAATAATGGATTATGCATATCCAATTGGAAATACGAGTAGAAATGTGTAAACAATGAGATTAATAATTAATCGATCCGTTAAACTGATAGATATATCATGCATCACATAATAATGTAGATACATTTACTGATACTGTCAATCATTCGCAATGAATAACGTATGTTCATTTGCAAAGAAACGTCTACGAAGAGTGACCAAGTACGATATCGATTGTACGAGGAGGAAGATAAATAAAAGGAAAAAAAAAAGAAAAAGAAAAAGCAAAAGAAACATGTTAAGAGTCGAGTGAGTATAAGTGTCGAGCGACAACGATCGCTCGTAAGATCATTACTACGAGATTCATTAACATAGCATGTTGCTTTATTAATAACGGACAGGCTTCTACTTATCCATATATATTATACTACTTTTACTCGAAGATAATAATAATCATGTGCGAAATTCGTTAATATTCCTCGTGTTCCTTGCAACGATTCATTAAAGCACGCGATCATTTATATATATTGCTAACTTTCTTACAAGTGAACTATGTTGCGGAAATTCGAATACGAGATACACCATTTCTGCTTGTTACCGAAGGAAAAATCGATAATTTTATATCCTTCTATTTTCATTTTCTTCGCTCTTTTCATCAGGAATCACCGAACGTGCGTTATTTCTAGGTTTCTCGTAATATGATGCATCGATCTGCAAATGAAGCCGTAATAAATATCCTCTGCTGCAACGCTGGGTTCGTAAGTACTTACGTACACGAGAATGAGGAGCGAAACTTTTTGTTTATATATATTGTTGTATTCAAACACGGTGTTCGACCTTTTACAAATAAATCGAGAGCATTATCGTCAGAAATTGAACTTCTCGTTCGATTATCGCTGCACTATATGACATTTTTGATTATTGTTCTTTTTTCTCTTTCTATTCCTTTTTTCCCCACTAACACGATATATAATTTTAAAAAATAGAATGTGCGTGATCTTATTTGAAAATAGTTTCGACACTTTTATCAGGAGGCAAGCAGCCAATAAATCGATTTCTGTTTCTTGATATACGACTTGTGATACTCGTAAAGAAAAATTTCTGTTTCTTTTTCTCTCGACCTTTTTATCTTTCTATTTCATTCTTATGAGAAACTTAAAGATGATATCGTTGTAAAGTGGAATATCAGGATCTCTATTGAAATAATGGTAAAGATTAAAGACTAATAGGAAAAACAATGGGTTTACAAATATCATGTTTATTAGGCGATTCAGTACAAGTAGCTTTGAAACAGTTACCTCACTGGCTCCTTCGGATCCCCCTAATTTTGTTCTAGGCTTCACCACCTTGATAGTCTTATTCCATCGTTTTCTAGCCACGAGACTGTTTTACTGCCATCTTTAGCTACTACGGAACGTAGTAGTGTAATTACCAGAGCTAACTGCCGGTACTATTACATAGCTCGTACACTCTGGGTGCCTTTGTCTCCTGACTCTGCCTTCGGCCCCTCCCTCCCTTCCTTCTCTCTCCCTTCCTCCTTCTCTCTCCTTTCTCTCTCTCTCTCTCTCTCTCTCTCTCTCTCTTCTTTACTAACACGCATATCAGAACGGGAATACGTACGCCCACATTATCAAATACAACGATGAAGCATACGTTTACAATTGTTTCCTTTTCCCACCTCTGTCTTCTTCTCCTTCTCCTCCTTTTCCTTCTCCTTCTCCCTCTTTGTTTATATACTCGTGTGATTTTACGTCGGTGTATACGTATCTACGCATCCTACCACAAGAGTTACGATCTTCTCCTCGCAACAGGTCCGTCGTGGTTTCCCGTTTGGCCACTACGCCAAGGAGAAAACGATTGAGAGAGAAAGAGAGATAGAGGAAGAACAAAGAAGAGAAGAATCTTGTTCTTCGTGTTCACTTCAGCGTTTACAGAGCAAGAATTCTTGGATTGTATTTACCGATGAACCTATGATCATGATCTATGCACTTGGTAGAACTTTTTTTGATTCATTGTACTTTGTACTTTATGGGAAATATCCTTCTACACATCGTTTTGCTTGCATTTTACACATCACTTATTGCTAAGGAATAATTTTATAACAAGTGGTTTTCTCCCATCGGATAATTTATCGTCGTAACTAATTCAGATAGAAATCTTTTAATTCGAATGATATAGACATCGAAGATCGACTTGCCGAAGGCTGCATGGATATTATATAGATTCATTGAATGATGAGAATGAAGAGTAGGAAACAAATCTAGACGGTATGGACGCGAGAGGCGGAGCAGGAAAATTTAAGGGGTAATAAAGTGCATATTCCGGTTCCGCTACATCCAGCACGGTGAAGTAACTTCGATGTATTGTGGGAGACTCCGTGACTGAAACTCGGACGCACTTCATTACATCCTTTTTTACTCTTATATACACGGAATTTTCATCTTCTTTCTTCGTCTCTCTCTCTCTCTCTCTCTCACTCTCTCTCTCTCTCTCTCTCTCTCTCTCTCTCTCTCTCTCACTTTCTCTTTTTCTCTCATTTACTGAGAAATCGTGCTACGTAAGGAATTAGAAGAAATTACTTTCTTCTTTTACTATCACTTGACAACATTGACAAAAGTGTAGGAAAACAATGTTTGGTCATTCATATACGACTGTACGTATACGACTCACTGATACGGTGATACAAGTTGTTTGATGTGTAAAGAAGTTTATGTCTTGTCTTCGAAAAGACTTTATGGTTATTGATTTTTCGATACACGTCTTGTGGATGGCCAAGACAGTGAAATTCTTATAGGACGAGAGAATTTAAGCTTTGTTTTAAGATATCGATTCTCTTTGGTTCCGTCCACATTTTACGATCCAATCGATACACGTCACAATTGTTAAAAAAAGAAACTGTGGAATAAGGCAGAATATTAAAGGGACCATTATCAGTAATGAATCGCGATGAGAGGATAGTTAATATTACATTCACCGCCTTAAGATTTCGTCTATTTTCGATTTGTGCTTAATGGCAATAAACGCTGCCGTTCATCCGATTCGTTACTGCTGCGATAAAATTTAGACGCGAGAACATTAAACAGGCAGTGCCGTTATTTCTTTGCGATTTACATGAACGTCGGTTTAAGACTGGAATGACTGATTTAGCACGTTGAACGAGCAATGTTTTTCCACTATTTGTACATAGCACGTAAAGTACTTACGTTACTTTGCCTGGTTTCAACGAGAGAAAATTTAATATCGCTTGATCCAAAGAGAACGCTCGAATTTCGTTATTTTTCGCATGTCGTTATCTTACAAACTGAACAAATAGTATTTCGTAAACGTTTACATCGTGAAACTTCGCAAGGTGATAAAGTCGAGGAGACTCTACACGCTTTGCAACACGGAATCGTAAAGGCGATCTTACCTGTCTGTAGGTACCAACGATTCGTTACACTCGAATCGTAGGGTAAATCGTAAAGGAAATAGGAGTAGGGTAAAGAAAGAACAGAAGATAAGAGATTCCTAGAATGAGGAAGATATATATATATATATATATATATATATATATATATATATATATACAAAGATACAGAGAGGAAAAGAAAATGAGCAGCGTCTTACATTCTCTTCTTTCTTTTTTACTCTTCAGCGAGTCTCTTCGCACATGTGATATATAAAAGACTTTGAAGGATTTTACAGGTACGGAAACGAGGCAGAAATTTCCCTTAGCAGTAAAATATCGCTCCGCTTGATCTGATACTTGTACAATTTTGCGTACATAGGTACCTAATTTTCCTAAATACATATATTTAACGTCGCATGCGCGCATGTGTGTCTCTATGCAAGACGCAACCAAATGAAATCTGGATACTTCGAAGACTTTAACTGTACGCTGTTCTTAGTTTCTTTTTCAGCTTTATTTTCGTTTTTTCCTGAATACTCGTCAAGAAAACATAATACATGTTATTATTTTCTAGTGGCGTAAAACGAAAACGTAAATGCGATGAATAGATAAGAATTGATATATTTAAGGATGATACATCTAAATCGCTGATCTTAATTAATTTTCCGAAGCTGTTTAGAAATTTTGATAGATAAAAGATATTAGGATATCTCTGTCGTTCTATCCTTGTTTTCGTGCGAACCAGTCGGTCGAAGTAGACATTGAAAGAGTCGAAGTATGTTATTTAGCAAATGAAGGCGTTCATTTCACGGTGCCTAGGACTAATCAAATCTTAATAGAGGCGCTAATGAGAGGGCATTCAGCGCCGTGAGACGGAGGATGATGGAAAGGATAAAAAAGAAGAGATGGAGGAGACCGCGTTCGCTCTCTTTCTCTTACGCCTTCTTTCTTCCTTCTCTTCGCTCTTTTTGTCTTCCCTCTTTGTTCCTCCGCTCTCTCGAATTAGTCTTTGCGGTTTCATGGTACTGCATTCCTACGGTCATTCGTCTCACGTTCCACGCCAGCGAATCAACGATTATTATTATTCGTCGCCGTTCTGCGATTTTACGTGTCTCTCTCTCTCCCTCTCTTTCTCTCTCCTTTCTCTCCTCTCTCTCTCTCTCTCTCTTTTTCTCGTTTTTTTCTCAATGTAACGTTCGTTTTTTCTTTTTTCCCTATCCATCACTGATGACGACGTCGACGAGCGATAGAAACGCTTGACGTCCTCGACCGCGGAATGTTCATAATTATGAGCACGTGACTCGTTTAATTTCCTGTCTGGACTCACCGCGACCTCAGCCAATTTTCTCCTCCTACCTATCGTCGGGAATGAGATCGTCCGAGAACGCTTCGATCCGAACCGCACGTAGTTTTTCCTCGTCCCGATTTCTCGTGGGAAAATTACATGCCTCCGCCTCTATCTACGCTTCCAAATCGAGTCGATATAAAGTTCGCGGTTTCGACGTTTTTCGGCCGAGGCTAACCACGCTTGGATGAACTCGTTTATTTCTTTTCTTTTTCTTTTTTTTTTTGTTTTTTTTCTTTTATTCTCGATTTGATCTCTAGTCATATTCCGTGTCAATTTTGTGAAAGTCGAAGAAACGTAGAAACGCTGCGTGCAAGGGCACGATTTAAGTCTTGATTTTTAGTAGGTATATATTGAGTGGTATAGGGGCCAGGCGAAGTACAAGAACGAGCGGAGCCACAAGCCAGTCCTGAACCAGTCTTGAATTCACCTCCGCGGGAGGTAAGCATCGGATGATCTTTGACCTGAGAACCGGGCCATCGACTGCTTTCTCACGTAACGTTTACGACACCGACTTGAGAAGAGTACCTACCTACCTATATACTATCGTTGATCTCGATTTCGTAATACGTAGTTGTATATTCTTCCCTGTAGTTTATACCTTCTCTTAATTATTTTCGAACTCTTTCGAACATCGTCATAGCATATATAAGTCTTTCGAATGAATGAACGGATGACAAAGTTAAGCGTTTCGAGATCGTCGAAGCGGACCGTACAACTGAAAAGGAGAAAGATCGGAGGTACCAAGTTGAACGTGCACGACGGCGTCGCATGATCGCTGAATTATCGCTCGGGGACGCAGCATAAATATGTATGCACGAAGAATATTCCGGATTGCGGAATGCACCATGAGCGTGCAGAGTGCTACCAACCGCCCTCCATCTCTCTCTTTCTCTCTCTCTCTCTCTCTCTTTCTCTTTCTCTCTCCCCTTCTCTAACTCTTTCACAGTCCCTCTTACTTCCCAACACTCTCGATGCTTCGTGTCGTACTAACGGCACTACTACCAATACCCATCAGCTTACAATCTTCCGCGTATATTCTGCCTTCGGCTTTTCTTCCACATATATATAGGAACACACACACATACACAAAAACCTGCACTATGCACGCGTGTCTACTTCTAGTTAGTCACTTTTCTCTCGAATACTTCGTAGCTTTTAAGCGGATGTCTCGCGGATAGCGAGAACGACCGATAGCGGCGGATTCCAAGAAGACTAAGAGGTCGAAGTGATTTCCTGGATAGAAAAAAAAAGAAAATAAAGTTTAGATAGATAGAGAAGAAGACAGAGTCGCTCTCTTCTTACTACTTGCTTGCTTGCTTTTCTAATTTTCGTTAGTATTCTAGCTTTTTGCGCCCATGGCTAAAAAAATATCCTTCGTCCTTTCTCAACCTCCTCTGAATGGTCTTTTCTTCCTTCTACTCAGTATTTTCCACCTTTAATCTTTTTTCTCTCTTTCTCCCTCTCTCTCTCTCTCTCCCCTCTATTTTGGCGCTTTTCTTTGTTCCCTTCTATCTTAGGTATAGCCAAGCAGTGATTAATTTCACAGGCAGCATTTCTAAAGAATCAATTTTTTAAAACCGAGAACGGAGAAATCAGCACGTGGATGATAGGGATATTCTATCAAACTTATAGTTCCTTCAGCTCGGTTCTCGTGTCATAACTTGATGTTCCTTATGTGAGATGCAGAATTATTACTTATATTATCTCTGTCAAGGACCAAATACGACTTCGTTTATTGTCCAATTGAAATAGTTAAATCAATTAGCACGTTAAAAGTAATTTCAATACACGTGAGTCTTATCTCTG